GGGGTGGGATTCAACTGGGATTGGGGTGGGATTCAACTGGGATTGGGACAGGATTCAACTGGGTTTGGGGAGGGACTCAACTGGGATTGGGGTGGAATTCAACGGATTGGGGAGGGATTCAACTGGGATTGAGGTGGGATTCAACTGGGATTGGGCAGGGATTCCAACTGGGATGGGGGTGGGATTCCAACTGGGATGGAGTGGGATTTGACTGGGTTGAGGACAGTATTCCAAATGGGATTGGGACAGGATTCGACTGGGTTTGGGGTGGGATTCAACTGGGATTGGGGCAGGATTCAACTGGATGGGGGCGTGATTACAACTGGGAATGGGGGGATTGCAGGGATCCAGGGAGCAAAAACCACCCTTGGGATTGGGATCAGGATCAGGGGGATTGGGATCGGGATTGGGGGGATATCATGGATCCAAGGAGCAAAACACTCCATTGAGATTGGGATTGGGATTGGGATCGGGATGGGGGGCTATCACGGATCTGGGGACCAAAGCACTCCATTGGGATTGGGATCGGGGGGATTGGGATCAGGGGGGTTGGGATCGGGAGGATTGGGTTTAGGATTGGGGTTTGGGATTGGGATGGGGGGGTTATCATGGATCCGGGGAGCAAAGCATTCCATTGGGATCAGGATTGGGAAGATTGGGATTGGAATCAGGGGGGATATCATGGATTGAGGGAGCAAAACGCTCCCTTGGGATCGGGATTGGGAGGATTGGGATTGGAATCAGGGGGATTAGGATCAGGATCAAGGAGATTGGGATCAGGATTGAGGGGATTTAGATCAGGATTGGGGCGATTGGGATGAGGATTGGGGGGGGATATCACGGGTCCGGGGAGCAAAACACTCCGTTGGGACCGGGATTGGGATCAGGATTGGGATCGGGATTGGGATTGGGATCGGGATTGGGATTGGGATCCGGGGCATTTCAGGGACTTGGGAAGCAAAAGACAGGCCCCACCCCTCCGATGACACAGGATGTCCCAGCTGAGTGGTCCCAGCTGGGCCAAGCCTTGGCATGACCCAGCAAAGCCCAGCCTAAAGCCAGGTGAGCGGCACTCGGCTCCGCTATTATCTAACGAAGCCCAGCTTAACGATGTTCTAGCAATGCCTGGCTTCGATATGACCTAGAAAAGCTCAGCTCAGAGCTGTGCCAGCAAGTTTCAGCTTTGAGCTTCAATGTTATCTAACAAAGCCTGGCTTAGAGCTGCGCAAGCTGTGCTCAGCGTCAAGCTTTGCCGGCCATGCTTACTGAGCCGTGCCTACAGTGTTCAGCCTTGATAATTTCTAGCAGAGTCCGGCTTTGAGCTGTGCTGCTGATGCTCAGCTTTGATATCAACCAGAAAAGCCCAGCTTAGAGCTGTCCTTGCAATTCTCAGCGTCAGTATTACCTAGAAAAGCTCAGTTCTGAGCTGCCCTAGCAATGCTCAGCTTTGATATTATCCAGCAAAGCTCAGCTCAGAGCTGTCCTAGCAATTCTCAGCTTCGATATTACCTAGAAAAGCTCAGCTCAGAGCTGTGGTATCAAGTCTCAGCTTTTATATTTTCCAGCAAAGGTCAGCTCTGAGCTGTCCTAGGAAAGCTCAGCTACAACATTATCCAGCAAAACTCAGCTTCGAGCTGTGCTAGTGATGCTCAGCTTTGATATTACCTAGGAAAGCCCAGCTCAGAGCTGTCCTAGCAATTCTCAGCTTTGATATTACCTAGAAAAGCTCAGCTTTGAGCTGTGCTAGTGATGCTCAGCTTTGATATTACCTAGGAAAGCCCAGCTCTGAGCCATGCTAGCAAGTCTCAGCTACAATATTACCCAGCAAAGCCCAGCTCTGAGCTGTCCTAGGAAAGCTCAGCTACAACATTATCCAGCAAAACTCAGCTTTGAGCTGTGCTGGTGATGCTCAGCTTTGATATCAACCAGAAAAGCCCAGCTCAGAGCTGTGCTTGCAATTCTCAGCGTTAGTGTTACCTAGAAAAGCTCAGCTCAGACCTGTCCTAGCAATGCTCAGCTTTGATATTACCTAGGAAAGCTCAGCTCAGAGCTGTCCTAGCAATTCTCAGCTTTGATATTACCTAGAAAAGCTCAGCTCAGAGCTGTCCTAGCAATACCCAGCTTCGATATTACCTAGAAAAGCTCAGCTCTGAGCTGTGCTTACAATGCTCAGCTTTGATATTATCCAGCAAAGCTCAGCTCTGAGCCGTGCTTGCAATGCTCAGCTTTGATATTATCAAGGAAAGCTCAGTGCAGTTCTGTCCTAGCAATACTCAGCTCAATATTGCCTAGAAAAGCTCAGCTCAGAGCTGTGCTAGTAACGCAGAGCATCAGTATTACCTAGAAAAGCCCGGCTCTGAGCTGTCCTAGCAATGTTCAGCTACAATATTACCCAGCAAAGCTCAGCTCTGAGCTGTCCTAGCAATGCTCAGCTTTGATATTAGCTAGGAAAGCTCAGCGCAGAGCTATGCTAGTAATGCTGAGTATCAGTATTTACCCAGCAAAGCTCAGCTCTGAGCTGTGCTAGCAATGCTGAACATCAGTATTATCTAGGAAAGCCCAGCTCAGACCTGTCCTAGCAATACTCAGCTTTGAAATTAACTAGAAAAGCTCAGCTCTGAGCCGTGCTTGCAATGCTCAGCTTTGATATTATCTAGGAAAGCTCAGCGCAGAGCTGTCCTAGCAATACTGAGCTTCAGCACTATCTAGGAAAGCCCAGCTCACTGAGCCGTGCTAGCAGTGCTCAGCTTCAATATTACCTCGGAAAAGCCCAGCTTACAGCTGCGCAAACCGGGCTCGCGCTCAAGGTTTTCTAGGAAAGCTTCGTTTGAGCCGAGCTCATCTTCCAGCTGTGCTTGCCATCTGCAGCTTCAGTATGATCTAGAAAAGCTCAGCTCGGAGCTGTGCAAGCCACGCTTAACATTGAGCTGTGCCAGCCACGCTTGGGCTTGAGCTTTTCTAGGAAAGCCAGGTTTTAACCATGCAAGCTCTGCTCAGCTGCAAGCTGTGTTATCGATACTCAGCTTCAGTGTTATCTAGAAAAGCCCAGCTTAGAGCTATGCTAGCGATGCTCAGCTTTGGTATTATCTAGAAAAGCTTAGCTTAGAGCCGTGCTAGCCATGCTCAGCTTTGATATTACCTGGAAAAGCTCAGCTCAGAGCTGTGCTATCGATGGCCGGCTTCAATATCACCTAGAAAAGCTCTGCCTAGAGCTGTTCTATCAATGCTAAGCCTTGATCTTCTGTGGGGAAGGCCAGCTTCGAGCTGCGCAAGCCGTGCTCGGTGTTGAGCTCGTCTAGAAAAGCTCAGCTTCGAGCTGCTCAAGTGGTTCTCAGCTTCAAGCTTTTCAAGAAAAAGCTCAGCTTTGAGCTTATCTGGGAAAGCCCAGCTTCAAGCTGCTCTTGCAAAGCTCAACTTCAAGCCCTGCAAATGATGCTCAAGCTCAAGCTTGTCTAGGAAAGCCCAGCTTTGAGCTACACAAGCCAAGCTCAGCCTTCGTCTTCTCTAGAAAAGCTCTAGGGTTGTTCAAGCCGTGCTTGGCTTCAAGCTTGTCTAGGAAAGCCCAGCTTTGAGTTGTGCAAGCCAAGCTCAGCCTTAATCCTCTCTAGAAAAGCCCTAGAGCCATGCAAGCCATGCTTGGCTTCAAGCTTGTCTAGGAAAGCCCAGCTTTGAGCTCTGCAAGAGGTCCTCAGCTTTAAGCTCTTCTAGGAAAGCCTAGCTTTGAGCTATGCAAGCCAAGCTCAGCCTTAATCTTCTCTAGGAAAGCCCTAGGGTTGTGCAAGCCACACTTGGCTTCA